GAGAGAGAGAGAGAGAGAGAGAGAGAGAGAGAGAGAGAGAGAGAGAGAGAGAGAGAGAGAGAGAGAGAGAGAGAGAGAGAGAGAGGGGCTGGGGGACCGGGTGAGGAAACTGGCTGAGTTTCTTTCTTAGGAGAGATATGCAATCAACTGTCCATCGGGTTCTCTCTGTCTCTCTCTCTCTCTTTCTCTCTCTCTCTCTCTCTTTTGGGCTGTCGCGTGCCAACTGGTTAGACAAGGAACGAACGGGAACCGTTGCCGCGACGTCGATGGTTGAAGGTTTCCTGTGACAGACATGGTGAGTGCTTCTTGGATTGGTGAAAGAATTTGGTGCAAATCGAACTAATCAATCAAGCTAATCAATCAAGCTCATCAATCAAACTAATCAATCAAATCGTAATCTCATTCGCTGGAGTGGAATTCGTCACTCGGTCTGTGCTGCTCGATGTAGAAAGGATTGATTTATTGCCTCTGCTCCGGATGGTGATTCCCCCCCTAATCAGCAGCAGGTAATCGAACGAATCGCACCAATGGAACCAATCAATCAATCAATCAATCAATCAATCAATCAATCAATCTATCAGTCGATCGATAGTTCGATCAATCAATTCTAGCAATCAATCAATCTAATCTATCCATCGATCGATCGATCAATCAATCAGCAGTCTATCAATCAATCAATCCATCAATCAATCAGTCGATCAATCAAATCAGTTGATCTCAATCGATTATCAATATCGTTAATCTGCCTGTAGAAACGAAAACGATCACGAAGCTTAAGTAGGAAAGAAACATGGCAATTAACGTTTTATTGACCTCCTCCTCTCCGCCCTCCATCAAGCAATCAATCTATCAAGCAGTCAATCTATCAAGCAATCAATTTATCAAGCAATCAATCTTAAAAAAAAAAAAACAAAAAAAAAACCTATCAAGCAATCAATCTATGAAGCAAACTAATCTCTCAATGCAATCAAGCTAACAAGCAATCAATCTATATCAAGCAATCAATCTATATCAAGCAATCAATCTACGAATTTGAACCGGCGGAAGAACATTGTTGACAAACAGGCAGACAAACAAATGATTGCCAATGCGCGATAAATGTGCCAATCTTTGCGGGTGAGTCCTCATTCATTCAATCATGACAAATGAAAACCAGACAGGCGAATGACTGAAAGGGCATACTCCATACTCACCCCAGGACTTGTTCAATGAATCTATTCGCAAGTGAGGCCAGATTCGGCTGATGTATGTGTGCAACCTGTCAACCTGTCAGCCACTAAGCAACAAATATGACAGAGAAACACCAAGATTTAAAGTATTTTTTGCATAAGCAATCGTGTAGACAAATGGATTTAAATGTAAATAAATAAATTAATTATGACAGACGGCGATCAGCGGCACACCTTCGACCGGCGGCCCCAACCCTGTATCCTAACCACTATCTTCTTCCCTCGAATAGAACGCACTGTCATTATGCCTGTATTTGGGGCAACTTTCAGTCCACACACGTCACAAATTTATCAGAGCGCAAATGCGAAAAAAAGAAGAAATAAATTCATTTTTATCTTCCTCCTTACAAGACTCCCCCGGTTCAAAACCTCTTGCGTACAAGGCCGCCGCCCACGTGGATAACCTGCGGGGATCCTTGTCTTACCGACAACCTCCTCTGCCACGTCGGCGGCGTTCGTCCTTTACGCGCCGACCCCGCCAGATCACATCTGGCTTTCCAGTGGTGACCGATTCGGATCTGCGGGCAGACCTACCAAATTCTTGTGGTTTGACAGCCACAAATGTCTGCCTACAGGCTTATCAGCGTCAACGTTATAGTGCATCCCAATTTCTTACGATGCGTATCAGCTTGACGCTGTTGAAAATCAGTTGTTGYTTGACCATAATAGTCCACCTGCAGAAGGTAGTAACTATACTACCTCAGGAGGCTTTACTGTAAATGTCTTACAGTTAGCGCTTATGCATCATGCGACGCCAGGCGATGACCTCAATAACCATCCTCATATTTTTGCCTGTATTTTACACAGACCCGGGCATTATATGGCACTCGTTCGTGCAGCTGCCCAGTGGGAACTGTGGGATGGTGGGACGATGAGTCAGGTCATTTTCTATGTGAATGAATTTTTGCGAGCGTTGTCGAATCATACTTTATTCTGGATTATTGACCGACTCTCGTGTGACACCTGTCGGGACAGAGACGCGGTGCGCCTTGGCTGTGGAATGCATCATCTATGCCATAGCCATTATCAATCTATTGCGACTGCCGCCGTCTGTCCTGAAGGGTGTCCAACATTTCCTCATTGTACACATCCCTATCACCCAGATATACGTTGTCCCTATTGTGCCCAAGGACGCTATCAGAACTGTATGATGCCGCACTGTGATGAACGTCCTGCTGTGTTTTTGACATGTGGACAACACGTCCTCTGTCAGGACTGTTTTGATGGGATGGTTCGTGCTAGCCGTCCTGCAGAATGCTGTGCTGGCGCAGCTCTCCTTGGCATCCTTGTGAACATCCACATCATCCTCACCGTAGCTGTCCTATCTGCCGAGGTGGGGACAGGTAAAGAAAAAAAGAAGAAAAGAAAAAAAGAAAAAAAGAAAAAAAGATAAAGGACACGTTGATCTGTGGGATGTGTTATTTGCTTTGTGATAATTGGATTATCTTTTCTTTCCCTATCTTTCTTTCCCTGTCAGGTTTGGTTTCCTCCTCCTTTTCTTTACCTCTTTGCCTTTTGGCTGCGTGCAAGTGGGTCCTTGTGACACACGGGGATGGGGGCAGCCAGCGCTCAACCTGTCATCCACGTGGCTGGCCTTGTACGTAAGAGGTTATGAACAGGTGGAGCTTTCCTTTACTCTTTCCCTTTCTCTTTTTTCCTTTTCCTTTTTTCTTTCCCCTTTTTTTCGCTTCTGCGCTCTGATTCACAATGTGACAATATATATATATATATATCATGTGACAATATATATACGTAAGAGGTTATGAACAGGTGGAGCTTTCCTTACCTCTGCCCCTTCCCCTTCTTTTCCTTTTTTCTTTCC